TCCTTGATGGGAGTGTGTCCTCCATTGAATGACGTCAAAACCGGTCATCAATTGGGGGTGTTTATTCCCATCAAGGTCCAAACTGGCCCTTGATGGGAGGCTTACCCCATCAAGGACTGGTTGAAATCAGTCCTTGATGGGGGTGTTTATCATCCATGGGAGATGTACTCCCAGTCCCATGGATGACTGGGTGTGTTGATGGGGTGTGTAGAGTCCAAGGGGTTGAGACGAGGTCACAAACCCCTTGGATACATGGCTAATTTGGCGGATCAGTGCCATGTTTGGCGGTCCAGGAGCAATCATGTCGGTTCAGGAGCATGGGTGGCCAATTTGGCGGTTAGATTCAATTTTCACTTTGGCCATTCTGGCGGTTCAGGGCCGTCATTTGGCGGTTATTTGGCCAAAGTGGCGGTTCATCCCCATGTTTTCATTTTTTTTGGCCAAAATGGCTGTTCAGTACCTCCATAGATACCAGCCTCTATGTCTTACAGGATCCTTCAAAGATTGGCGTAATCTGGATTCATGTTGATGATGGTATTGTAACGGGAGACTCCATCAAAATACTGCGGAATCTTGAAACTTCTCTTGAAGGTAAGCTGGAAATAAAGTGGAGCAATTCACTTGACTCTATAGTGGGAGTCAATGTTACCAGGTCTGAGGGGGCATTCACTCTCAGTCAGAAGAAGTCAGTCTCAGATATCTTGTCCGAACACTGGGACGGTTTCACGACAGCAGCAACACCTTTGCCTTCTAACCTTGATATCAATTCAGAACAAGATGGAGACCCTTCCACCTCTACAGCCAGCGGTGGGCCGCTACGCTACGCTACGCTTTTGGCCCAAAAAGCGTAGCGTAGCGGCGCTTTTTTTTCATCCAAAAGCGGTAGTGTTAGCGTTTTTGTAGCGGTTTTTCGCTACGCTACGCTGCGCTACAGCGCTTTTAGCGGAAAAAGCGGCCAAAAACCGCTAAAAAGCGCTGTAGCGCAGCGTAGTGGGCCCTTTTTTGCGGCCCACACGCGTAGCGTTAGCGGTGTCGTGGCGGAATCCCGCTACGCTACGCTAAAGTTGCGTGGAATTCCGCTACGTTACGCTGCGCTAACCGCTACGGTTAGCGTAGCTGGCCCAGCGTTGCTACAGCTTATCTTTCTATTGTTATGTCACTCAGTTATGTAGCAGTAGGTACACGACCAGACTTATCTTTTGCAGTCAATTTCCTGGCAAGGTTCTCGGCTTCACCCGGCCCATCACATTGGAAAGGAGTCCGGCATCTGGTAAACTACCTAGCACGATCGAGAGATCAGGTCCTTACATTGAAACCTGTCAACGATCCAAAGGCCCTGAAGTGTTACTGCGATGCGTCCTGGGGTGGAGAACACTCCAAGTCGACCTATGGGATCTTTGTGACCTTTATGGGTTGTCCTATCCTTTGGTCGTCCCACAGGCTAGCCACAGTAGCAGCTTCTACTTGCGAAGCGGAGTATATGGCTTTGGGCATTGCGACTAGACAGGTGCTTTGGGTAAGACATCTTCTGCGGGACATACTGAGGAAAGATTTTAAAGGAAACCTATTCTGTGACAATCAATCGGCAGTAAAGATAAGCACTGATGACTCATCCAACAAAAGAGCTAGGCACACGGATCGAGAGTTCCACATTACTAATCAAGCTTTATTCGAAAAGAAAACAGAGCTGACATGGGTGCCAACAAAGGAACAATTGGCGGATATTCTCACCAAATCCCTGACTAAGGAACCCTTTGAGCAGCTTCAGCATCATCTCTTGGGATCATAGTTGAAGGGGGGGAGCCAGTTTTTCTTAGCGTTACTTTCATATTTTCTTTCCTTTCTCCCTTTTACTTATATTTTTTATATTTTTTATCTATACTTGACATTCTTTTGATTACTCACAACCGCTTGTATATAGTATGCCTAGTGTCTAGGTGAGGGGGGGGGGGGGTGTTGTAACCCAGCTACTGGGTTACCATCTGACTCACTAGACCCTAGAGTACATAGCTTGAGTGAGCGTGTTAGTGACAATTCTATTCATCATTATCACAAACCACATCAGGTTTGACTGAAGGAAAAGTTACTGTTGGGGTAGAGGAAAGCTTTCATGAGCTTCGGAAGGCAAGGTGGGGCCACCTTAAATGTGATGACTAAAGACAATCCTCGACCTTCATGACTTCCCCCTGCCTTTCCGTGAGGTACAAAGCTGACTGTTTCAGCCGTTTCTGTGGATATAAATAGAGGCTAGAGCCATCGATGCATAATCTGCACAACCAACATTTATCCACCCAAACTATACTCACACTCACGACGTGCACAAATCCACAAGCGTATTAGCCATTAGCTCATTGGTCCCAACATCGTCTCCACACACATCCATCAATACAACAACAACAACAACAACAACAACAACAAAATGCTTTCCATCATGAAATTTGTCGCAGTTTTCTTGGCATTAATGCTCCATGATCAGGTTCTTTGTGCGGACACGCCAATCAAGTACACTTGTCGTGGGCAATGGGACAATAGCCTGCCCCAGGGCTTATGTATGCTAGACTCCGCAAAGGCTGAACAGAGTATCAATCGGGTCATGGTTTGGGGTAAGTCTAGGACTTGACTTTCATGAACCGCAAACTATTGTCTGTTTTGTATATGATTAAGTGTTGAAATGAACGATTTGGTGTAGTGAAAGACCAAATTGTTGTGGACCAGGCGGCCGGGATATTCAAATGCGACTATCCAATCAATCCGGATGAGGGAAAGATCCGGGGCTGGTGCACCAACAATGTGGTCTTGGACGTAAGTCTTCACACATTGTCTGCAAAGCTCCCTTATCTTGTTGTTAACTCAACCCCCACCTATGGATAGCCAAACACCCCAAATGGAATGACCCCCGATTCGGCAAAATATATCGATTATGGATTCGATGCAGTTGTTGTAAAATGAGAACTGCATATTTCGATCAACCAGTTTTCTTGTCATACATTTCTTTTCAAATATTTTGGCCATAAGAAACCCTCTGTAATTTTGGCTGCTTAGGCCACATGCTTCCTAAAACTAATCTCCTCATAGTCCAGGATGATACTCAGCAAAGGCAAGCTGGCCAAACAAAACAACCCTTTTGTAAATACATTCTTTATTCAGCTCCATTTAGGTTCAGTTCAAACCCATAGAAAATTGCTCTTATCCAGAAACAAAAACAACTGCAAGATGCTCTCAACTGTGGCTATAACCATCAGCAACAGATATTTAAAATACAATACAGAATATGGCGGATCGGTCTACAACTTAAGGGTTGGTGAATTTTCTGGTGAAATGCCGGCTATAATTGAGAATCCTTTGAGTTGTCCCCAGGGCCAAAGTAAGACTGAGACTTCAACGTGGAGAAATTAATGAAGCTATTTGAGGAACTTGATGAAAAAACTTCCTCTAATAAATCATGCTCACTCTATTTTAATGACCAATGGTACTCTGAGTTTCAAACATCTGGTTCCTGGATGTCTCAGTTTAACAAATTGTTAACTGGGGAACTTCTGAAAAAAAAAAAAACAAGAAATGTTGTCTAGAGACTAGGGTCATATACCATGAGAATGTATATATATATATATATATATATAGAAATTGGTACTTAGTTGATTGGCCCCACAATGTGGGAGTTGTCAGGAGGACTGTCTGGGGACCATCCCCGGACGTCCACAGCCCCCAAAACCTAGAGATGGTCACGGTGAATCCGGATATCCGCGCGGATGCGGATATCCGCTCACAATTCAGCGGAATTTGATATCCGCATCCGCAACCAAAAACCGCTGGCGGATATCCCCCTGGTTTTTGGCGGGTATCCGCGCGGATACCCGCGGATACCTACCCTTTAAATGGGCGGAGAGGCAGCCGGCTGGAAGGGTTTCCTTTCCAGCCGGCAAGGTACATGTACCTCGTCGACGGGAAGGAAGTCCTTCCAGTCAGAAAGGTAGAAATCCTTCCGGCCGGCGAGGTACATGTACCTCGTCGGCTGGAAGGAAACCCTTCCAGCCGGCCATCTCCTCTTTCCGGCCTTGGGTATCCTTGGGGATACTCGGATATCCGCCGGGATTTCACGGAAAAGGGGGCATCCGCACCCGCCAGCGGATATCCCCTGGCACTGGCGGGTATCCGCCAGCGGATAGCGGATATCCGCAATGGATTATCCCCGCCCATCTCTACCAAAACCCAGCCCCCCCCTAACATTGGGAGTTGTACCTACCATTCCTGCATGGGGAATGGGAGTTGGCTCCCAAAGAATAATAGTAAATACTTATCTCCCATTCCTGCATTGGGAATGGGAGTTGGCTCCCAAAGAATAATACTAAAAAAGCATTCCCCTGAAAAAATTCTGGGGAATGCCCTGCAAATCTTGACTGTGAGCTTTGCCCCCCCCCCCTCTGCACACCATTTCCAACAGCCAGGAGTGGTTCCTCCGCTTGGCTGAGAGTGTACAGCTCCCAGCAACCCAAGAGGATTCTCTTGGCTGCAGAGAGCATACAACTCTCAAAAAAATGAGAGAATAATCTTAGTTGTGGAGCGCTGTACATACTCAACCGCTGAGAGAAATCATTCCCGGCCATTGAGAGTGTTCCCCGGATTTGTTTTCCCAGGGAATGTGTTTTTATCATTATTCCTTGGGAGCTGACACCCCTTCCCAATGCAGAAATGGGAGGTAAGACTGGCAATGTTGGGGGGGGGGAGGGGACGAGGATTTTGGGGCTGGAGTCTAGACGTCCTCGGAAATCATCCTCCCTACCTATAACTCCCATATCTGAAGTCCCCAGAAACATCAATCATAAAAACACTCAAACGCTGAGAATCTGTTCCAGAACGCACTTCAAAAGTGATTGCAGCTAGTCGTTACAAGTGATTCATAGTCTCACTTGGTCCCCAGCTTGTGAAATTTAGCTGAGAATTCAAACAAACAAAACAAAACAAAAAAACAAAGACTATGTCTGAATGAAGAGACTACAGAAGGGAGAATGATGATCCCTATGAAGTTTGAGAGGGGTAAACTCGCGGGTATTGCTCGGATCCTTACAAATAAACAATGAGGGCTACACCAAGACTGCAACAAATACGGTATTTGTGCAATGTATTGACATGTATTTTTTTCATGTATTGTGGTCTTGATGTAATTTGATTGATGACCAATGTGGTTCTATTGAGAGTCTTATTCATTTAATCTGGCTCTTTGTCATATATGGTGGTAGGATTGCTCATGATGCAAACTGTGTATTGTATCTGTTGCAGTGTTGGCTACACCATCCTTCCCAGCAGAACACCAATATCATGCCCATAACAAGTAGGTTTTTTTCTTTACAATAATCCTTCAAGGAAGAAGAAGAAGAAAATCACAGTTAGCTGAGCTCAAGGGACACTTCTAATCATCAATTTGAATCATCTTCATGTGGTCACAATATCCCTTGCACAGGCTTTGGGGGACCAGAAAGCTTGATGACAGATCTTTCTGAAATCTTTTGATGGCTCCTGATCAGTCCAACATCCATCACCATCATCATGCTCAACTCTTCAAGGCCCAACTTCTCCCCACACTCAGCTCCAGCATCCCAACCAATCAGGTGCTAATCCTTTTGGCCCACTCGACACAGATCTAATGGTGGAGAGATAGACAGGAACTTTGATCTCAAAGCCAAATGAAATTGTCAGAAAGCAAAAAAACACACACACACACACATAGAGCTAGAGAGAAAAAAAACTATATATTTTGGATGAGCGAGGAAGAATGAGATGGACGATGACGAGAAGCAGAAGAGAGACAAGAAGCGAGTTGAGCGATTGATAATAGAGACAACAATGGCTTCTCGGAGCGAGGCCGATTAGCCTGGGACGGAACTACATAGAGAGACTGTGGGCTGAAGGGGAAAGGAGACTTGGCGGACACGACGAGATATGCGGCTGTAGAGGTGTGTGGTCGATGGTGGAGGTGTGAATGAGGAGCCCAATTGGATGGCAGACTAAAGTCGAGGAAGGGAGAAATCGGGACGGCTACGAATGAGGAGGAGGGTTGGATTTGTCGTCGAGTTCGAGGCTTTGGACGGCATTGGTGAAGAGCTTGAAGGCATGGTTTTCGTTCTTATGGGTCGGAGTGCTTGCTGAGGACGCCTCTTTCTTGGAGGAGGCAGGAGGCGGCTGAGGAGGGACTAGATGTTGGGAGGCGGGAGGCTGAGGGTTGGCCGAGGAAGACTTGAGTGCCGATTGGAACAGGGCCTTTCCCGGATTAGGTTTCCCTTGAGGCTGACGGCTTGGAGGATGAGGATGGGGTGTTGGTCGAGCTTGGGTGTCCTGATGGTCTGGCGGATTGGCCCCAGTCGACGACCGAGGATCATCATCATGAGCATCATCCCATTGCTCGGGTGTCTTCTCCTCTGCCTCTGGCTTCGAGGAGTTCTCCGCTTTCCGCTTCTCCTTGCGCTTCGCATTCTTCTTCTGCGCCTGACTCATCCCTTTCAAGGCCGATTGGGCGACCGCTACCTCGGGCCTCACCAAGCCCACGACACTCCCCTTGGGGAGCTTCTTCGCTTCGAAGTCGCTCTGCCGCGCCGACCGGAACTTGCTCACATCTTCTTGCGGCGTAAATCCCGGCCTGATCTTGATCTCTTTCCTCAATCTGTCTTCCAAAATCCATCCCAATTCATGTATCCATCATTCCAAAAATAAGGTCTAATAATCCATCAGTTTACAAAAAAAAAAAAAAACGGGTAGTAGAACAGAGAAATCATCAGCTCCTTAAACCCACGTTCCATCCGGACGCTTAGACGGGGCCACCTTCCTATCGCCCGTATGCGGATCCAACACGATCCCCGACGTGGACGGCGTCAGTTCTGAGAGCAGTGGGGGACGAGAGCTGGGGGAGACCAATATCATGTTAGAAACGTGGCCCTGCTGACACAGAAAAAGAAAGAGAGTATGTAGCAACTGACGGCATATCGAGATCCTGTTTGATTTGTGTGAATACTTTCGGTACCGGTGAATGTTCTGATGAAATTTAAGAAGCTTGTTTCGGGAATGACAGGAGTACACATTCGAAAGAAAGATCGATTGGAATTTGTGGTGTGGAAAGCTCCTCGACTGAGCCGCAGCTGATTAAAGATAACACCCCGCCTCCCGAGAGAGAGAGAGAGAGAGGGGCTTCATTTCACTCGTCCGGGACCCAGTGCCAACGTCCCTTGGCAGCCCTTTCACAGGGAAACTCCGCCATCGATTCATCATGAACTGATTCCTGGCAGTGTTGCCCCACTCCCGAGGATCTGGGAAGAATATGAAACCAGCTGTGTCGAAGGTCTTCCTTTCTTTTATCATGGTTGGGCCGGAGTATCCCACAGTCAAATGCTTGTGTTGCATACTTTTTTTTTGAGTCTTGAGTGATTTTGTCAACATTATGTACAGCTGGCTCTTGAGGTGTGTTCAGTCAAGAAGACTTGATGAGATTGCTGGAAGTGTTTCTTGGGGGGGTTGTCTCTTCTTTTACATAATAGTTTGTTTTCTGAGTTTGATGGCTTATTTTACTACTATACTATTCTTAAACTATCATGTCCACCTCCCTGCCTGAGCCTCCCCCCTCCTCCTCCTCCTCCCCACCACTCGTTGGCACCCCACTGATCAACAACTCACACCGACGCTCATTCTCGGTCTCCTCGCTCTCCCAGAATGCATACTACCATCTCTACCACAGTCTGCCCTCCACCCCCAGGCTGAGTCTCCCGCTCCATCGGACTTCGATCATCGATCAAGCCACCTCGACTCATTCGAACCATCAGATCATCATAATCGCTCTCAAGAAACTCATCGGTTAGTGCCCCCCCCCCACTTTGGGGATCATATCTAACATGCTTGCTAATCTTGCTTCTTGCTCCTTCGTAGTTGTCTTTGCTTCAGTCCATTCTGTCATCAGTACCGCATCCCTCGCCCTAGCATTGATCAGGAGGAGCAGAGCAACTAAGAGAGGGTCAGTTGATGATTTCGCAGACTCTTCCACCAGAGAAACGATTGACTGATGTTTTTTTTTTTTATTATAGAGAAACACGCTCGTTATGGAATGTGATGAGGACGGTATGGTCGGACGAGAAGATCACGAGGCTAGCGGCCTTCCTAGGCGGATACTCGGCGCTGTGGACGCTGGCCTTTCCCGCGCTCTCCAAGCTACGCCGACCAGATCCCGGGGCCGAGTCGGAGCCCTCCGCCGACCAGATCACCTCCGCCCCCGCTCCTCCCTCGATCCTCGATCGTCATCGACTGCAACTCGCCCAGTTTCTGGCCGATTGGGCCGCCGCTATCGCTGGCGCTATCGCGGGATTGGCTCTGTTGGCTCAGTCTAAACAGGAACGCGTTAACTTGGCTCCTAATATCTTTTGTCGGTCAGTCCCAGTTTGACTCTTCATCCCACCTTTACCGATTCCCGCGCACTAATTCTCACAAACTATGCGACCCAATGATTGTAGAGGTCTATATACCTTATTGAAATACAAACCCATGATGAATTTCCCGCATGGAGATCTACTATTATTTGGAATTTCGAATGCACAGATCATGTCAGCCTTTGTGCTGAGTCCACAGACGCTTCCATCCTGGTATTGGCATTGGATCCGGCGGGTGGGGAGTCTGGACGAGAAGTTCCTGGAGCTCCATCGGTTGTTGAACCAACACAAGCTGGCCGACATGGGTCTTCCCAAGCAAGTCATCGACCGCACCCGGCCCAGGACGCTCGGAAACGAGCACCGGCTCACCAATTGGCTCAGCCATCCCGACCCGCTCGCCGCCCCTACCGCTCCCTGTCATTTCAATCACCCCGCCTTCGACAGCTGTATCCTCGGTAACGGATCTCGCACTTGGCGCGCTTTCAAATCTATGCTGCCTACCTATGCTATCCTACATCTCGTCCCAGCCCTCCTGTTTAGAAGCAAAGTGTTTATCAAATCGTTCGTCCTCAATAAGAAAAAGAATAAACACTCTTTTTTTTTTTTTTAATTCTTGAGATCCCGTCTCTCTGACAAGCTTTTTTTTTTTAATTTGCACCCATTGGAAGACCCACATCATTCCTGATTTCGATTGCAAGAAAGACGACCTCCTCGGCCCTGTTCCTGGCCACGTTTGTCTGGATCATCCTCTTCTCAGTCTGTGTTCCCTCGCGGATCTACGAGTCTTCGAACGGCCTGGTCAAGCTCCGCGGCGCCAAATGGAACGGACTCGTTGGCTTTGCAACGGCTTGCTCGTTGTTGTGGGAGGATCCTAGACGGAGAGGCGAATTGGGTTAGTCGGCCCCAAAAAACCTTTTACCCCCCCCCCCCAAAAAAAAAAGAAATCATCTTTTCAAAACAAAGAAAAAAAGGGAAGAATAATTGACCAAAAAAATTGAATCATCAAACATATGAAGCGTTATACTGTGCCCCCAAAGCATTAGCGTCGATCTGGCAAGTGATGAAGACGAAGGGGGTGGTGAAGAGTGTCCGGTATGGGGAGATGATCCTAGCGAGCATTGGGACGGGGACGTTGATGCATTGTTTTGTGCATGCGCCCCAGAGCATGCCGGCGTTGATCCGCGGGACGCTTGGACAGCTCATCGACCCGCATTTCCCCGGTCGATCGGCGACCGTCGGAAGAAAGGAGAAATCGACTAAACTGGGCTCCGTCTCTTTCGCCACTACTCAGCCTCCTCCTGGACTGGTCCCCCCTCCTAACAAGACCAATCACTCCGCCCTGCCGCCTCACTCCCTCTTCCCTCAAGATGATCTCAGTGATGGCAAGATTCATTACTTTGGCCTTCTTGGACATGACACTCAAGTTCCTTGATCCTCTTCTTCTTCTTCTTTCCTCTTCTTCTTTCTTCTTCTTCTTTCTTCTTCTTCATTTTTCTTCTTCTTCTATTGTATAGAGTATCAATCAAGAGCAAGTAAATATCAACAAGCATTTTCATTTTTTTTTTTGTTCTGGGTTTTGGTTATACTCATATATACTATTAGGTATTTGAGCTGAACTGTCGCTTCTTGTGAATCTTAATCACATAGACTCACAGGACAGAGAGTGTTTTTTTTTCAAACAATAAAAGGGGGCCTGAATAGCTATGTCGGACCTTTTTAGGCCGATTACTTTGCGGCCAATAAGTGAGAGATATATGAGCATGTGGGGGTTTTGTGGTGGGTTGGAAGGATTGAGTACTTGGATGGTTGAGGTTGTAAGACTCTTATGATGATCGACTGGCCTTGGCTTTTGGATGGTTGAGGTTGTAAGACTCTTATGATGATCGACTGGCCTTGGCTTGCAGGGAAATGGGCTACATTGTACCAGGGTTCAGCAGGCTTTGTGTCCAGCGGGTCCGTCAACTTAAGATGCTGATCAAAACCCCCAAAAACCTCGGGCGGGTTTCTGACGGGCAATCCCCGGGTACATGATCCTGGACCGGGGCAGCTCTTGACTGTGAGTTTTCTGGCTGGACCCCCTTCTTTTGGTGCAATATGGCAAAACCTTTGTTTGTACAAGATCCGGACAAACCCAGGGCGGGGCCGGATACCTGTTTTGGGGCATTGACTCCCCTCCCCCCCTTGGTGGGTTTCAATTTTATTATTTATTTAAAACTAGTATATGCCCCCAAATTTGGGGAGGCTGCATGTTTTTGCCCCGGATGGTGGGTTTTACTCAATGACCTATGGGGTTTTCTTGAGTTGGACACCTGTCTGCCTTGGTCTAACGCCGGTGTTGACAAATCCAACAAATGTGAATTGGAGGTTGACACTGGCGTTAGATTGCATGACAGTTTGTTTGGCTCTCTAAGCCTATTTTTTTTAGTTATATGTAGATATGTAGAAGATTACTGGGATCCGACTCCCAAACCTGCTGACAGGTTTGGGGGATTGACTCCCAATAATGCGGGGTTTCGGGGGTTTGGGAGTTGACTGTCCAACTTTTGGGAGTCAATTAACCAAGCCCCTTTATCTTTTGCAATGTTGTTTACAGTCTGCAATTCAACGCTGAAACAGATACGGTATCTGCCATGTATCTGCCATGTATCACTATGTATCTGAGCCCCAATAAAAAAAACTATCTGACCAATCTGCTTTTATTTGCAAGGAGATTCAACAAATTTGGTTTTTGGCCATGCAGCTTTGCAGAATTCTCCATGATACACACAGTGTATTGTATCTGTTAAAGTGTTGGCTGTATCAAAAACTCAGCATTTTTCTTCAGTTATCAAGGACTATTTCCAAGCTGTTGCTGTTATAGCTATTAAGACCTGCTAGGCTGATACCCAAAACTTGGCATGTTGCATTGATTTTTCAATACTTTATGATGTGATGCCAATACAGTTAACTGTATCAGCCCAGATTTGGTTTGACTTCCTCAAGAGCTTGGGAGAGGGAGGCATGCTTATGTCTTTTTTGGTGAATGCAGGTCCAAGTGCCAACCTCCACCAACATGTAGCTCATATCAAAGGCTTCCTCATCCATCAGAAACTGTCTTCAAGCTGACCTGAAACCCCCACTCCAGGGTCAGATTGCAGGTCAAGCCAACTGCAGGGTCCAGCCCTTCTTGCTATGAGGCAATCCATTTTTGTTATGAAGGTTGGGCAAATTGGCTTGACCAAAACCAATGTATCCTGGTACCTGGGGTGTAGAGTATCAGGGATAGGCATGATTTTGTTTGATCGAATCATTTAGTATTCCACTGAGAAATCCTTTGGATGCATTTCCCCCAAAGTCTTGGCTTTGGTTGCATTTGATATATTTTTAAACTATGTAGAATCAAGAGATCTAAGAGAAACTTTATTTCTTCATACATGACACAGAAGAAGGAAACTAATGGCATGAAAAAAAAAATTCAAATAACTAGCGCTGAAAATTGGATCAATGTATTGAGTGAAAAAACTGAGGATGTATAAAAACAATGAGAGCTCTATTTTTTCTATTGCTTGTAGAAAAGGTGAAGAATAATATAAATAACAGCACAAAGATTAGAAAAGGAAGGAAATTGTAGCAAATTCATTGATCGTAAAATTCATTTTGAACCACTACCTTTTCTTCCTTTGAAAGGATAAAGCATTTTTCTGAGGAAACTGTTGGAGGAAGTTGGGTTGACTTCTTGTTCATCTTCCTTTAATGTATCAAGGTTTGAAACGATTTCAGTTTCAATATTTCTTTGACCTTCATCTAATATTTTTTGGTTCATGTTCTCAAGGAATTCATAATGGCTGGAAGTAAATTTGTGTAGAAAAGGATGCTGAGAAACATTTTTCAGTGTTTCAGTCTTCCTTATGAGCTCAATGTATTGTATGCCTTCCAACACATCTTTCTTAGTTTGTATGTCTTCTAAAGTTGAGATTAAGTGATTGAATAAATCTTGAATATCATCATAATTTCCTAAAGAATAATAGTTATGGATAAAATGTGTGAGTTTCCAAAAGATGGCTTGTTGTGGATAATCTAAAGTTTTCATCAAATGATCAAATTTTCTGGGGTATGTTGATGTTTTTTCAACTGAGGTTTGAATGCTATCCTTGGATGAAATATCTTCTTTAGTCCACTCTAGAATCTCTGATAACATCTTCTTTTGAAGATTAGTTAAATTTGAAATAAAAGTTTCAGCTTTTTCATTGTTCAATTTGTCCTTGGATGGTCTTTGATGTCCATAGTATGTATCTTTCCATGTTGGAATACTATCATCTTTCTTCAAATTAATCAGGAAATCAACCAGTGATCCAAGATAGGATTTATCATTATTTGAATTTAAATATCTCTTAGGTAATCCCGAATTTCTCCCAACTGTTTCACCACTGTAGTCTGTATCCAAATAAATTTTCCACTAAGATGTTTAATTTTTCAACCTGGACATCTTGAGATGATTTCCAGGTGGGATCATGAAATTTTTCTGTTTGTTTTAATTTTTTAACAAAATGATTTTGCAATCCAAATATCAGCATATGGATTTTTTTTTATTGCACCAGTAAAGATTTGTGACCACCAGATGACAGGTGGGACTGAAAAACATAATTATGATCATGCCTTGGATCTGGTTGTACTACTGATTGAATTCAATGATTCCTTCTGTCTGGAGCTATAGTTTCTCAGAGTGGATTCACTTGATGGGTATATATATGGCTTTCCTTATCCTGATTTCACCTGTGATCTGGTGGCACTGAATCTTTCCTGGGGGGTGGCACAGGATGAAAACTAATGTTACTCACCAGTTAAACTATCAATGGCATATGTTGGTTCAGATGATTTGTCTGGTTTAGTTGACCCTAAATATAATTTCATTCCAATTAGAATCAAATGAGAATCCTCATCAATCATTGCCATTTATGATCAATTTGTTTTTATTTGACCTTACCTTTGGAGCAAATACCACAAGAACAATTTGGCTTGCAGTTTAAGTTATGTTTTCCAGAGAGTTCTTCAGTGTTTCTATTAAAACTTTGACTGTTTATTTCTTAAGACAAAAGAACCAGAATCTAGAGACAAGAGATTAGAAGAAGGAAATCAAAATAGAAAAGAATAAAAGCATGAAACTAACCCTGTAGCAGATAGATTTTATCCAAGACAGACAACAGATGATTTTGAGATGGACAAGAGAATATAAGACTGATAGAAGAATGTGATGATCAGTCTATTGAAGTTTAGCAGATAAAGGGAAACAGAAAGAGAAACAAACCCCAGTGATTTAAGTGATATAGACTTAGATATAGAAAGAAGTGAGAAGCAAAAGAAGATCTGGAAAGAATAACTAATAATGATAAAAGAAGGAGTTAGTCAATTGATTGAGAGATGAAGAGAATAAGAAATGCTTGTGGAGCATTTCTCACCAAGTTGGAAGCTACAAAGGCTGTCCAATGTTAAAGCTTCGCCGTAACTTGTTGACGGTCAAGAATGAGGTGGATTGATCTTGATCCTTAGGAGTGTTGAGTGGTGAGCGGTGTAGCAATGATTGATGAGTTTAATGATGGTCGATGAGGAAGAGTGAAGAGCGGTTGAGCCGGATGAGAGGAGTGGAAGAGGTGGAATTCGTAATTGGGTTAGGTTTGCTGGGACAGTCTTTGTTTCACAGGAGTGTCACAAGACATGTCTTGTGCTCGAGTTTCAACAGTTTCTGGATGCAACTTCAAGTGCTTCTGCTCTCTTGAAAAGAGTTTTTGGAATTGAAAGTGAGTTTGATTGAGCACTAGAACAAAGTAGGATTTGTAAGTAAACTAGAATCTTGGTTAACAGCATGACTATAGATAGCCAGGCTTGTTTTCTTTTTGATAGGAATTGGTGAAGATGATGCTTCTAATCAGTGAAATGGGATGCTGAGAAGTCTAAACAACCAATACCAAAAAATAAGGCTTCTTGCAATCTAAACTTCCCCCAATTCGCGAATGAGACTATTTAAAGGTTTCATATTGTACCTGATCATCGGTTTCCTAACTTGTGACAAAGGATGTATCATGCCCTACATTACAGCTAACACAGGAAAGCTTGCGGTTGCGCGAGCCTGAAAATTACGACCAAAGTTTTTTACTACCTCACGCAACCGCCTGTATACCTTCCAAATATTCCAATCCTTCTGCATACTTCCCTCCATTTCTCTCTCTATACACCCAACACCCAAGCGATGGCCCCCGATCCCGGCCCCCTCCTCAGCTGCCCCAACCACTCAACCCCCAACGACTCAACCCCAACTGCAACCAGCCATCCACCTCAAGAATCCTACATCCCCCTTCCTACCTATTACTCAATAACTATCACTCTAGCACTGAATATCGGTGAGTCTGCTTTCATCTTTCTCAACTCAACAGCCAAGGTTCCAGGGGCTGACAATCGTTCCATGCAGGCGCAATGGTTTTTGTTAAGTACGCTCGGGACGTCAAAGCCATCGTGGTGAAGTTGAGCTTGGAGGGAAAATCCCTCAATGAGATAAATGATACGATTGGATACACAGTCTCCCCAGATTCCCTGGCCCGATGGAAAGAGCTCTTCCAACAAACCGCCAACGTGGTTCACGATCCAAGCTTATATCTCGACCGGGGTCGGCCGTTGGCGTTCTTGTGAGAGGAAGCGGAGTTTGTTTTGAATGCGCTGGAGGCCGAACCGACCTTGTATGTGGACAAAATCCAGAGCCATATCCAGGCAATGACGGGGACTCTGCACTCAATGAGTACGATTTTGGCCGAGTTGAAGTTCTGCCTCGATATGACCAAGAAGGTGGCTAGGACAGTCCACCCAGCTCAGAGCAAGCTTGCTTGGGCCGGTTATGCCGAAGAAATTGGGGGCTTTGACTCCAACTACCTTGTGTTTATTGGTCAGTCAGGCTCATGCTTTCTGACCCCCCCCCGTCTCATGTGATGCTGACCTGGTCTATGCTCTATGTACAGACGAGTGTGGAGTCTCCTGAGGACTCACTCCCGAGATCGCGCTTGGGCGCCCCGTGGCCGTCGAACGCAACGGATCCCCAAGCCTTTGCGGTCCAGTCGCATATCGGTCCTGCCTGCTGTGTCTTGTGAGGGCCTCCTGGCCAGCATTGCTCAGAAAGGGACGATGTGCCGACTGGACATGGAGTATTTCATCGAGGAGGTATTGGTAAGTGGTGACTGCTTGGCCCACCCCCCCCCCCCAATTGCCTGGTTGATGTAAATGAAGAAGTACTTATGTGATTCTGAATGGTGATGCTCGCTAGATCCCGGTCATGAATCCTTTTCCCGGTCCAAACAGCATATTAGTGATGGACAATGCGCCCATTCACCACGGGGGCCGCATTGCCGAGATCTGTGATGCGGCGGATGTGCTCCTTTTCTACCTCCCAGCTTACTCGCCTGATCTGAACCCCATCGAAAAGGTCTTCTCGGTCCTCAAGTCGAAATTGAAACGTGAAGAAATCTTAACCGGGACCTCCGAGGAAGCCGAAATAATTAAGGATTTCCTCGAGACCTTTGTCACACCCGAGTTGATGCGGGGCCTGTTCCGAGGATGTGGCTATTGTGCCTGAGGGACACCCAAGCTCAAGCTTTGAGCGGTCGTTATCACTTCTTTGAGCTTCTATTCTCCCCCTCTCCTCGGTTCTCATGTTGAATGCGTAGCTTATCTACAACGGCTTCACAGTCTGCTCTACAACGGCATCACTTAGTCTAGTCTGCCTGTTTCCCTCTCTGTGTCCGTGTCAGCTTGAATATGTAGTTCCCCATTTCCTCAGGTCTAGTATTGAGTGCCTCGATTGAGCTTGTCTAAGTTGTTGCCTCCTTGATTGATGTGGGTCTGCAAACAATGTTAGTACATATCTCCATTTGGTGCCGCTATCTACTGCAAGATCATATGTTTGGTTTGCTATTGAGGCCCCAGGGCTGGTGAGGTGCCCAGCCGGGGAATTGGGAGCTACTGTGGGCAATCACTTGCCCCTCCTGGAACAAGTAGTGAGGGACGGAGCTCCGAGCTACCAAGGTCGATGACTTGACAAGTGGTGGCCCCAAGTGAGGGACGGATGGCTACACTTCCTCTTGACAAGGTCCCCAACTTTGTTGAGGAATCCCAACTGGCTGATCTCTTCCAGTTGACTAGGTCACGCATGCGGTGACTTTGTCGCCTCACATCACCTGATGATCTGGGGGTCTTTGACCTGAGCGGTCACTGGGTTATGGGATACCTCATTTTGTCATTACTGGGAAAAAAAACCCTTTGGGGGCCGTAGTTGAGGCTTCTTTGGTGACGACTCTGATCCCGACGCCCGGCCATTTGACGGATTGTAAGCATTCCTGAATTGGCTCTCGGTGCACGTGTTGTCATAGAAAACGCGGAAGGACTCGGCCTTGCGGTTGGCTGCTTGGGAAGGGCCTAACCACGACTCCTGCGAGCCGTCAGGGGCATTTTCAAACGGAAGGGGGGGGACTCCACCGCTGAGATTGGAGGAACCAGCCATGGCAATGACCTACGAATTCCATGTCGGGGTCAGTCAGATTGCCAAAAAGATGTCCAGTAACCAATGAAGACCGTAACTTACAATTTTGATCCAGATGGGTAGGAAAGTGCTCGATAATTGGCAATGTCGGAATCGGATGTCTTGGCAGAAGCGATGAGATGAATTTTTGACCAACAGCCGGAAGAGGTTGGGGCAGCTGAGGAGGGTGGGGCAGCTGAGGAGGGGGCTGGGATCGGGGGCCATTGCTTGGGTGTTGGGTGTATAGAGAGAGAAATGGAGGGAAGTATGCAGAAGGATTGGAATATTTGGAAGGTATACAGGCGGTTGCGTGAGGTAGTAAAAAACTTTGGTCGTAATTTTCAGGCTCGCGCAACTGCAAGCTTTCCTGTGTTAGCTGTACCATTCATGAGACAATGGTGTAATTGTCTGACTGACAAACATTCACGACTTGATATAATACATATAAGTGGGAAACCAACACAGCAAATATATGTATGTTGGACAGTGGGTGGACTGCCTGGTCCTTACTAAACCTCAAATTTTGTACCCAAAGTATTCATTTTCCTGTTTGCTGGAGTCAGTTGAGAGTACATATGTACCATACACCCATCTGCAACCAAGGTCAATTTGTGAAGGCAGATTCTCAAATACTTTTACCAGAGAGAAGAGGGACTTGGCCACACATTTTGTCACCTGAGTATAGATTGAAATAGAGTGGGAGGATTCAGATTGCGATTGTGCTGCGCGAGCTGTGGCTGCGGCCCGTGACATTGATGTGTACACCCCCTCTGCACCCTCTCAGGCTTCTCGACTTCGAACCACTCCAAGCCTTCCAGCCAACACCGCACTTCCTCAGCTGAACTGCCAAGACCGCCTTCATCCAATCGATCCCAAACAACCAGATCACTCACTACATAGCAAGATGACCCTCCTCCTCAATCACTCACTTGATCAAGTACGCAGGTCCAGGAATGCCGGACAGTCTACCGACCGGAATAACGGTAAACTACGTCAAGTGAGCATCGTTTCGGCAATCAAGCTCATTCGGTATCCTTTTCCTCTGATCGATGGCTTCTTCCGAACTTCTCAAGACGAACGATTCGTGGAAACATGACCTCTTCGAAAACGGTGATACCAAAGCATCCTCCAATCCTCCTCGACAGCTGCGTACTGTCGATGCCCCCGGGTTAGACACTCTTCACATTATTCATCGAATCCAGCATTCCCAACCACGCGTACTTACCCGTCTTCGTCCAACCTTTGCAAATCTTCAGTGATGAGGAAGTCGACCAAGGTCGTTCGACATCATTACTCATAACTAACCTACACTATGATGTTAGTGAAGCTGAGCTGGAAGTAAGTGTGCAGCCGGCGAATTTCAATCGATTCGATTGTTTGACTGATCCTTTCTCGCTGCCCTCGTAGGCACTCTTTTCTCAGATCGGAAAGCTCGATCGTGGTCCTTTCATCAAAGTACGCGCATATCATCCTATGGTTTCTTCCCCAGCTTAAGACTCTTCCAAGCCATCTATTGGACCACCCTCACCTCCCCCCCTCCCGTCATACCAACTATCAAGATTATGAGGCATGTCACTCCCGCCATCAATAGACTGGTATTCAACTAGCGACACAAAAAGCACTTGCACCCCCCTACCTCAACCAGTTTTCCCTACCTAACCTCACTCCACTCTCGTCGCTTGTCCTCCACCCGTCTGCTGCTGCGCGAATCTCCATCGGTTTTCCCCTTTGCACAAAGAAATACCATGGCTATTCAAAAAAAAAAAAAGATCAAAAGTATACTCAACCGAATTTTTACCCTTGCTATTCTTTGTAACTGCTACGTTCGCATAGGTGTGCCCGAGACTACTCAACTTCCGTACCTGTGAAAGCGCTCAGATACTAAACAAAGCCCATTTTCTCGAATAAAGTTTGATCAATCAGGACGGGCGACGGAGGGTCTTGCGTTTGTTTCCTACGCCAACGAAAGCCACGCCGAAGCTGCCATCGAAGCATTCAACGGGGCTTCTGCTAAAGGTCAGTCGACTCCACTTTGGCTTCCGTCGTATCACTCTCTGAAGCAGATTTTGGATCGTTATGTTATAGGTCAGCCTATCGGTGTCCAATACGAATATGGGATCCCACTTTGGGTTCGAACGGCACTTGGAATCAGTGGACGCCAGGCGACGGCCGAAGGAGTTCCCTCCACCTTTGGTCTCTTAGGACGCATGCAGCAGGATAGGTAACCAGACAGTCGAGCGAGCAGATGATCGATCAGCGAGGGATGGAACTGATTAGATGGTTCGGATTCGTTACAGACCGACGGGCCGGCCGCATTTTTCTCCCTACGACGCCAATCGTCCCCGTGGCCCGCGGTCCTCGTTCCCGCCAGTTGGGAGACCTCGAGCACCATCGAACGGTCGTGATTACCGTCGGACTGCCGACAGCTTTGGTAGTGGTATCCGGTCCCGTGGCGGTCCTGCGCACCGTCACTCTGGCCGGCCTCGATGGACCGGCGACCGGCCGGCGGCTCGTAGTGGAGCTGGAGGGGTCAAGAGTGCCCGGGAATTGGATAAGGAGTTGGAGGCGTTCATGGGCTCCTCAGCTTCAGTTGCCGCCACTGCACCAGTCGGTTCAACGACACAAACTGACGTCCAGATGACTGAATGATCTGTTGTTGCCTTTGCTCTGTCTCCTCTTGCTCAATAAACATCTTCACTCTGTCCGTATCAAGTGCCTCTTTTCTTTTAAACAAAAAGGTGCAAATGATTTATGAGAATCTGTTTGTTTTTGTATTCTTCTTCCTCTCCTCCCCCCTTTTCTTCAATGTGTCTATCCCACTATAATTCCAGACTTGATCTTTTTTCTTCAAACTTCAACTTCTCTACTCAAACCCACAACATCTTCTCCCCCCCCCCCCAAACAAAAAAAACACACAAAAAAACTTTGTCTGGATTACATCACAACAAAAGCAAAAAGTAATAAAAAGTAGAGGAAACCATCAAAAAAAAAATTAGAAGAAAAACAAATGTGAAAGTTTTGGTCCCATTTTTTTCACATGTTTTTTTTTTACTTTTGTGGATGGGGCAGGCCAATGACTCATTGAGTGGCTTTGATAGGGCTGATGATTGAGTGATTTGGGGCTTGTGGAACTATCAGGTTTGTGCTGATCTGATGAGACAGAGCAAGTCATAAGACAGCTGATTGGATGCATCTTTAATTTAATTTATTTTTATTTTTATTTTATTTTTTGGCTTGACTGTTTGTAAGGTTGCGACCCGGCCGTTTCAGATCCAGGAATCAATTGACGACACCTCTGTTCACCGAGATGGATGGTGATCGGATAGCAGTTTCTTGTGATCGGCTATCCAACCCAATAGACAGCGTCTCTTGGGTTGTCCTTGACCTGGTCGGAAGGGGTATCTGGCGCGCAAGGGGCCGGGTGGCAAGCCTAAAGTCTGTTTGGATGCTTGGAAGGGAAGCCAGATGCCTCGATAGTTTTGAGCATCATTTGCAATACATATATCGGTCAATCTTGTACAAGATTATGTATATTATGACTGTGGAGAGAGAGAGAGTGTGGTTAAGCTGTTGAAGAAGAAGAAAACAGAAGTGAGGTGGCGAAGATGGGAGAGTGGTGTGGGTTTCTGGTGTTTCGATGGTCGATCAGCTGTCTAAGGGTGCATAGTCCGTACATTGTAGTGTCCAGTAATCATCCGTTGTCTGTGTGATTGGGACAGGACTATTTTAGATATTTATGTAGGAGGGGAGATTTGGATGAGATGGGTGGGCTTCTGAGATAGATCGGGTTGAGAGATCGTCGTGTGTTTGATGGGTTGCTTATCTTCTTGCCAATCAATCGGATTCTTTTTTTTAATCTTATCTTTTCATGTCATTGTTGATTTCAAGTAGTCTTGCGATGCCAATCTGTTTTTTTCTGATGTTTGATGGATTGGGTGTTTTATTGAATGTGAGGATCGATGGATCATGGAGAAGGGTTCAAAATGCCGATGTATTTATGAAGTGGCAGTCTACATATTCAGATAGATGTTGGTAGGGTGTTTGTTGTCGGAGTTTTGATTGTGGACCCCCAGTCTGAGACCTGAGTCGGAACTCGGAAGGTGTTGTTTGTCCGCGGGCGGGGTGTTTTTGTGTTTTTGTTGTGGATGTATGCGGGTTTAAAATTTAAATTCAAATTTAAATTAAATTCCTTGAAACAACTTCTCCTTCTTCTTCTTCTTCTCCTTCTCCTTCTTCTTCTTCATCCCCCACTCAACCAACCCAACCCAACTCAACTCAACACACTCCGAAACCCAGCAGAGAGAGCTCTCGGTCGAGATGCTTCGAAGCTCAACCAACAACAACAGCAACCACTCAACAACAACAACCAACCAAGAACTACTCAACCAACTCAGCAGACTATCATCAAACCTACCATTCTCAGACCACCACCACCCCCATCAACCATCATCATCATCATCATCAAAACCAAAAACTAATCATGGAATCACTAATAACCTCAAGCTCGACATGATGTCCCAACTATTATGCTCTCAAGCACTACTAGAATCAGACTCATTCAAACTACTCACTTATGACAAATTCAATCAGACCAAAAAAGTCATTCTCCACTTATATACTAACTACATATGTACTGCCACAAAAACACTGACTCAATCTTAATCTCTCTCTCCAACAGGCTATCTCCAAACTCGAAAACCAACTACACTCAATCAACTCAAAAATCAACCTCGAACTCAAGATCCTACTAGCAACCACTCTCATCGCCGACGACAACAGTCTCAACGAACAGCATGACCTCTACCAATTCCCATCTAAATTCAAGCCACTACATGACCAGAAGGAATCAATCCAATCTCAACTCTCTGAACTCAGAACCAGCTCACTCCAACACCTCGTCGCAGTACTCGCACTAGGCTTCAAGAGACTCGAACACCAACTACAGCACTCAACCCAACTTAACCACCACTCCAGCCCCTCCCACACTCACTTCCGACCACCCAGCCCTGCACTCACCACCCTCTCCTCTCGGTCGACTAACCTCAATAGCAGATTCGATGGCCCACATCTCTTCGCGAATAACTCTTCCTTACTCAACCGCTCCAACAGTCCATCATTCAACCAGAACGGTTCCAGTACCATCACTTCCCCAGACAGATTCCCATTCTCTTCATCATCCTCAACCAACAACAATAATAACCATCATCAGAATAAGGAGACCAATCTACTCAAGGAAGAAATTGAATCACTCAAATCATTGTTGACTGCTCGCGATGCGATCATTGCCGAACAAACCTCAGACCTGAGCTTACTCGAACTAGAAGTGGAGACCTTGAAGCAATCATTATCAGACCAATCGACCACCCATAAACAGCAAGTCTCGGATAAATCCAATGCGGAGCGGAAAGCGCAGATTCAGATCGACAGTCTACGAAAGGAGAACAGCAAGCTGAGCGACTCACTCGAGGCCTCCAGGGAACAGATCTCCTCGAAGGAGCAAGAGCTGAAGCTAGTCAAGAAAGAGATCGAGATCTTGCATTCGGATCGCCAGGTCGAGCAGATGAGCGCGCTTAACGAGAGTCTGGCCGTCCAAGCACGCGAGGCTGAGGAGCGCGCGAAGGAGGCATTGAATGCGCAGGCGGAGCTGGAGAGCCAACTGGAGACCTTGAAGGCGGATCTGGAGACGACGCGTCGGTCAGGCACGCGCTCGCTCGACGAGCGAAACTCGCTTCAGCAAGACCTTCAGACCTCCCAAGATAAGCTACAAACAGCTCTTGCCGAACTCGAGACTCTACGGACAGAAGCGGCCGAACGGGCAGCGGAAGACGGCAGGAGATATACCGCCCTGGAAGCCGCCCATCGGGACGAATGGCACGCCCTAGCATCCCGGCTCACCACCCTCAGCTCCAAGTTCAACAACAACCCCGCCAGCCCGAAACTCGCCCAGTTCCTCGTCCAGCCACTCCAGCCCGGCCAGCAGACGAAGTTCGTAGAGGAGCTGGTCCGCAGTTTGGATGAATACATCTCGATCACCAACGAGCTCTTGGCCTCCACCCAAGATCTGGGGCCGACTCTGCGCGCAGAACTCGAGCAAGTCCGACGATCGCACGAGCAAGAGAAGGTGGAGTGGATGGAGACAGTGGAGATGCTCGAGTCAGAGAAGCAGATGCTCGAGAAGAGTATCGAGAGTGAACGAGCGGGGGAGAGGGAGAGTGAGGAGCTAGAGAAGGTCAAGCTGGAGGTGGCCGGACTCAAGCAACAGCTGGTGGCCGCCAAGCAGCAGGAGGAGGAGCAGACGCCCAACACGAGTGTCGAGAAGGCTCTGCGCGAGCTCTGGAAGGCGCTGCCGCCGAACCTCGAGGCCCGGGCTGGGGCCAGTCTGGACTCGGACCTCTCGAGCTTCAAGGCCGTCTACGAGCCCGCTCCTCCGCCGGCGCCCAAGAACTTCGGACTGGTCTCCGCCGGGGTTAGTGGCAGTCTTGGCGGCCTCTTCGGGCTCGGTAAACGGAACACTCCGACGCCTTCCTCCACCTCTTCCTCCGATGATCATCATCCTTCTCAACTTCATCAACGATCCTCGCTCGATTTCTCCGTCGATTCAACCCTCGAAAAACTTAAATTGCTCGTCGAAAACGACAAGAAATTGGTCGATCGACTCTTCAAATACGAGGCCGAAAAAGACTCGCATAAGAATAACTCCCTCCGGGCCCAGAAATTGGTCTCTGAATCCCAGGACGCGTTGCGGATCTACCAGTCTCAGGTCCGACGCTCTATCTCTCTCTCCTTGCATTCTTTTTGGGGTATCCATATTGATCATCACCCCTTCTTCTTTGTTTTTTCTAGGTTAAAGAGTTGGAAGAAAGATTGGAATATGCGGATGCCCAATCGGCGGCGATGTTAGAGAAAGTGAACGTGAGTGAGACTACGATCACTTACTTAGAGTTGAATGAAGGAAGAAATTGGGACTGATGGGGGGATAAGATGGGCCAGGACTTGATGGAGAGCGAAGAGAAGGCGCACATGATCGGACGCCGGGCCGAGCAGACGATCGCGAAGTACCAAGCGGAGCTGAGTTCTCTGAAAGCCCAACTCACAACCCACTCCCAATCCTCATCATTATCTGGAGGGGGAGGGGCAGAGAAGAGGTTGAAGGAAGAGGTCCAGAGGTTGAGCGAGACGGTCGAAGACTTGAATGCGGAGATCGAGGACCTGAAGGCCCAAGAACTCAAGCTCAGAGACACTTTCCTCTCCGACCTCGCTGAACTCAACCAGCTCAATTCGGCACTAAAGGCCAAGAATAGGGCCCTCGAACGATCCGTCAAGAATCAGTGATCTGTTCTCTTTTCTTTTTTTGTGGATTTTTTTCTGGGGTGGCGTTCTTTCGCCCTTCTTCGTTTTTTCTTTTGTTTTTGGAGCGCTGACCGGCGCTCCACTTCCCCAGTCGTTTTTTTTTCTTCTGTCTCGCTTTCTCTGTCTCTTCTTCAATCTTGAAAAAAGTCCGCCTTCTCTTTTGTTTAGTCAATCATCATCATTCTGTGAACACTCTTCCTTCCTTCCTTCCTTCCTTTTTTTGTTTCGGTCGTCTTCGTCTTCATTGTTGTTGTTGTTGTTTCTTGATTTTTAGGGTGTTTAGAGTGTGTGTGTTTCGGTTTTGGTAAGTTATTTTTAGTACTATGTAGGTCTGTATACTCCCCATCTACAATCCCCCTTTTTTTGTTTTTTTCTTGGTGGCTCGCTCAGGGATGGCTTGAAGGGTACATAATTAATCAGGTGTCTGTAAAGGTCCTTGAAAAGGTGTGCATGTGGAAGAACATAAATAAATATGTAAGTTGTGGAAATGAATTAATTAAATTTACATAGAGGGATTGGTGGTGGTGGTGGTGGTGATGGCTGGACCCTGGTACATATACCAATCCTAAACAGTGGTATCTTTTTTCTTTTTTTGGAGAATTAAAAAGAGAGAATCAGAGAATGATGAGGAAGTGATGATGGATTGATGGTGGATTTGGGTTCTCCAGACAGCTCCAGAGGAGGTTTACAATCTTGCAAGAGGGTCTACAATACACAATATGTACAAGCTTATCGAACACAATGAAGGGGAAGAGAATATAGAGATGATGACGTCACTACAACCAGACATGCTGACTTGATGAGAGCGGAGCTTGATCAAAAAGGAAGTGATCGTCGACCACAACCTATCATACAACACACACCAAAACCAAAAAAAAGAAAAAAAAAAACCAGTGTCAAAACAGTTTGCAAGAAAGAAAGAAAGCGAATCGGAGTTCGGATGATGGCGCTGCTCGCGACGGTCGGGACGGCCTACGGAATCCAGGCCTTATGTGCCGCCTTCGCCATCCCCCTGCAATCCGAAAAGTATCATTCCCTGCGCTGCTTCATCATCCGATTCTGTCATCTTTCTTGGGCAGTCTCTTTTATCTGAACTGGATACTCATCATCATATGTATATCGGTCGATTGTGTTTAGATACTATGACTTATCGGGCTCGGCGACGTTCTTGAGCTGCACCGTCAGTCCTCCCTCTACATCTCTCTCTTTCTCTCTCACTTTTTTTTTGTTTTGGAAAAAAAGGGACTTATTTTCGGGTCTGGGACGGGCTTGGTGTTCGGTGTATAAATTATCAAGGCCATCTCGCTCTACTACCCCTCCTTGCGCCACAAGCTTCTCCACAACCGCGCCGCCCCCTGGCCCGCTCTGGCTAGCTTCCATCGCCGGCAACTCATCATGAGCGGGTTGACTTGTCTTTGGGCCACTCGACTTGGGAGCTTTCTTTACCAAGTTCGTTCATCATTGTTCTTTTTTTTTTTTTCTCTTAGATATCTCCTCCACCGGAAACATGAGATTAGATTGATGGCTTGTATCATGAGGCTAATCCGGATGTTTGGATGGTTGTTCCAGCGGATCAAGAAGAGCGGGAGTGATTCTAGATTCGATGAGATCAAGCGTGATCCGGTCAAGTTCTTTGGTGCCTGGATGTAAGCAAGCCCCATACAAGTGTATCTACATATATGCTCGGGTTGCTGTTAAAGCCTCAAGAGCCAACCGATCTTTTTTTTTTTTTGTGCAGGGCCCAGGCTTCTTGGGTCACTCTGACTGCCTTTCCGGTCTATGCGGTAGGAACCGTCCCCCCTGCCAATGATGAGTGTTCCCTGGGTGACTTACTCGATTGGTCTTCCCAACACCTCGAACTGTAGGTCAACTCTGTGCCCGCTTCTCGGCAACCTTCCTTGGGCTTGACTGGATCGCTGGGCACGGGATTATGGATGGCATCCTTCCTATTCGAAGTGTAAGATCCCTTTTTTCATTCTTGTCTGTATTGGTTTGGACTCACTCGAAAAATAATGATGTGCCTCCCTGCTTGATTTACAGGGTAGCCGATCAACAAAAGTCTAAGTGGAGAGAAGAGAAGACCAAAAAGATCCATAGCGAAGAGTTTATCAGTAGTGGCTTGTGGAGCCTCAGTCGACATCCCAATTACGTCGGAGAAGTGATGCTTTGGACGAGCCAGGTGATGATTGCTTGGCCGGCTCTTCCGGGTGAGTGTTCCAGACACACACACTTGAAATTTCGAGCAAGAGCAATCAGTGCCAATATAGAATCTTGATCACTTGACTGATACATGTTTTTTTTTTTGTATCATTGGATGAGGATAGTGTGGATGCGGTTGATGAGCTGTTTGAGTCCGATCTTGGAGTACCTGTTGATCACCAAAGTCAGCGGCTTGCCACCGCTCGAAGAAAAGGCTGACAAACGGTTCAGAGATAACTCTGAATATCAGGCCTATAAGGCTCGTACGCCCGTCTTTTGGCCTAAGCTCTCATGGTGATGATGCTTTTATGTTTACGTCTCCTCCATCATATCATACACTAAACCCGGTTGCTTCTTATCAAGGTTTTGTACACCTATCTATGTTTGCTCCATCTTTGTTGAATTACTTTGTGTCTAACCAGAAAAAAATAACAAGAAATAAAATCCTATTTTGTACGGTTGTATCTGGCCCTGTCTACGGATTTATGAATATTCCAATATCGGCCGGGCTCATAGGCTTAAGCTTCTCAGGGCTCACATAGCTTCATGCTGTTGCCTTGTTGTATTGGGGGGAGGGGGGTTCACACTTGGACTTGAGGGCGATTTATAAGGTGTTTCTGGGTAAAAAAATGTATACTTTTTGGAGATGTGCTGCAGAAAGTTCAAGAACAACTGGATCTGAACAACTCAAAAAAAAAAAAAAAACAGGAAAATGGCCCCAAAATTATTTACTTCACTCTCAATATTGTTAAGATTTTATATGAATTAACCACGCCATAGTCTCTCTCATTGCTGGCAGCACATCTTCAGCTCTATGTACTCTATCCAAGGTAAATTGTCTGTTTGTGTGCTGGACCAATATCATTGTATAACAAGCCTCACTGAGAAAGCAAAAAAACAAGCATCCATTTTGTCTCAAGCATGTGTCTGATCATCATACTTATCATAGTATTTTTCTTTTGGTGGGGTACTGAATGGTTTGATTGGTTGAGGTCCTTCACAAGTCTGAATTCAAATCAGACAGCAACAGCAATAGGTTTGACTGAGGAGCATGATTGTTGTTTTGACAAGAACTTTGTCATGTTGAGGGGGCGGGGGGCGCAGTTATGACTGCTGGTCCTATGTACTGACGCTGGACACCAAACGACAAATAGTATCATGGTGATATTTCTTTGAACAACTTTGGTATCAGCTCAGTCTGTTCTCATCAACCCAGCAGTTGTTCAGTCTGACAGCTGATGACTATCGTGATGCTAGTATGTATGCGCAACAAAGATGAGGCCTGTTTCACCCATCCTCAACAACATAAATAACCGGCCAGAGTTGCCACAGTCTGCTCCAATTTGAGTTCCGCAGATATCAGCTTTGATTCATCCCTTGGGAATCACCCACATTCTAATCTTATATATCGTAGTCTTCTCCAGAATTAACGATTTAATCACCACTCTCAAGATGAAACTGATTTGCTTAAGTCTAATAGTTGAGTGATAGTCTTGAGTAATTGGTTTGATTCTTTCTTTCAGGGGGTTGTTGGCAAAGCTATGTAGAAGCTGACTCCGATTAAATGTTCCATTTTCGATTTGTCTGATCAGCTTGTTGGTTCGATCGCAGCTTCACCTGCGTTGAGACTTGGAGTCCATAACCCCGAGTTAACACTACTCGATCTTCCAGCAGAAAGCCCCACATTACTGGTTCCATATGGGATTGAGGAAGACGGCTACCCGAATATTGACCCCTCCTGGATAGCTACTCTTGGGAAAAGTAGCCCCGTGTTGATTTGCGATCACCACGCCAAGCCGTTCGTGGCTGAGCAACCATCAATTATCCACAAGCCTGATTCCCTCCCGGCGCTCAAGGAGGAGTCTCGAAAGGATGGCGGATCGGCCGAGCCCTTGGAAGGCGGATCGAGCACTGATGCTGGAAAACTTCCCGCGTTGCTTTCGGTTCAACACGCCAAGGCTTCTGAAGCAGAGCAACCATCCGAAGCCCTCCCGGCGCCCAAGAAGGAGTCTCGTAAGCACGCTGGATCGGCCCAGCCCTTCGAAGTCGCAAAGAGCGCCGATGGACTGGGGTACGGGGGAGAAAGTAGTACCTCTTCACATAAGTAATCTTGGCTCTTCTGGAGTTGCAGGAAATGGCTATCCGCAATCATCCTCAGACGGATCAAGAGACCTTTCCTATATCATTCCGATTCGGATATAATAGATTGGATTTTTTTCATATCATAGTTGTTTCTTTTTCTTTTTTTTCTTTTTTTCTTGCTCATGATCTCTGCATCTTGTGTCTATCCGAATGACTATCAAAAGGCTAAGAAATTCCTAGATACACGTTTTTTTCGATTTCCTTGCGCCCCTCAAAAGCATATTTTTTGTTTGGTTGTCTTAGGTTTTGCTCTTTTGTGCTCATCCATCATCCTTGTTGTGCCGAAGTCAAGTTGTCTCTTCTTGTCTACCCACACAACTAAAAGCAACACAAGTTTCTTTTGGTTTCATTTAACTTCTTCTGTCTATGTTGAATGATCCACTTTTGCAGGCCAAATTCAATGGCCCAGCAAGCAGCAAACACTTCATCAATCCTGTGCTGCACACTGGTTCTTTTTTTCTTATGTCTTTCTTCCTTGAGGTTTCATCTTTAATCTGTCTTTTTGGTGTCCTTTTTGTGCAGTCTTATGTGTTGGCCAGAGCTGATATTGTTCAATTGTGTTTATGCTTAAGATGTCATGGTATGACTGATTGGGCTCGGCAACCTTCTTGTGCCTGACTCTCACTGTGTCTCATCAGGAACCAGCTGCAGAAAAGCTCCTCTGAATGGACAGATTTGGGGTCTACCCTTTTGAAACCTTGCCAAACAATTCATGCATTTTGATTGCCCCCATTTATAGGGGCTTTGTAGGGTCCTGTCTCATCAGGACTTAACCTTGCTTACAGACCAGGAAAACGTGATAAGGTTTCAAATTTCGAGTTCTAGTGATCAATGTGTCAAATCTTATAGTTGCAGGAGCTAGTGACAGAGTGTCAGTGATGAGGAACTTACTTGCATCACACTCGCTGTTACTGAGGTTATGTATAAGTTTAACTCTTATTTGTGCTGAAGCTGAAATTTGCCTGTCTTTTGTTGATTTCAGCTCTAGACTCTAGTGAGCCATTATGATTTCATTCATTTCATAATTTTATAAAAACAAAATTCGAATGCATCATTGAATCTTTCTTTGGTAGAAATTGGATTCATTCATGAGGAGCCTGAACTCATATCAGAGAAAATGTGTAACAAGTTTAACTGGCGCAGGCAGGAGTAATCTTCAGATTTGTTTTGGCAAGAAATTTGTCAGGTGGAGGAGGGCGCAGTTGCGACTACTGGTACCATTGACGCAGGACATCAAGTGTACGTCACAACAAAGCAGTATCATATTGATATTTTTTAATCAGCTGTTAGTATCAGGCTCAGTCTGTTATCATCCAGCTCAAGAAGTTTGATTGCTGGTCTGAAAGGCTTGATGACCAGTGATGAGCGTGGACGTGGCAACAAGCAATGAGGAAGATGAGGCCCGTTTCACCCATCCTCCAATCAACATAAATAAGCCGCCAGAGTTGCCCCAGTCTGCTCCAATTTGAACACTGTAGACATCAGATTTGATTCATCCTCTATAAATCATCCACATCATCGTAGACTAGTCTACTCATATATTCAACCAATCACTACTCTAAAGATGAAATTGATTTTCTTAAGTCTAGTTAAGTCGTAGTAATTGCTTCGATTTATCTCTATCACACGACAGTTGACAAAGATATTCATCAAGAGCTGACTGTATTCTGCTCCATTTCTTTTGTCTCAGCTTGTTGGCTCATTGGGAGCTTCACCAGCGATCAGACGTGGAGCCCCCAATCTTCCTCCAGAAGGTCCCAAGAATCTGGTTCCTTATGAAATCAAGGGTGATGGTTACCCAGAAATCGACCCTTCATACATACCGACTTCTCAAACAAAGGCCCCCGTTCTGATCTGTGATCAACAGGGCAAGCCTATCGTAACAGAGCAATCATCCACTCACGGCGCCGGATCCGTCGCGGCGCCCACGAAGACGGAAGTCCAAAAGAGCGCGGATGGGCAAGGTAGTGCTTCTTCACGCAAATAGACTGCGGTCTCGTGCAGGTCAAGGAAACGTCTAAAAGCAATCATCCTCAGGCGTATCAAGAGGCCAATCTTTGACCATCTCAAAAAGGCAGTAGAAAAAGATTCCGATTCGGATACAACAGATTGGGAATGCCCCACAATATAATTGCTTTCTATCAATCACTAGAAATAATTTTGTCAATATAGCCGTTTCTTCCTTTGTTTCTCATTCAAGATCCATCCATCTTATATCCAAATGGCAATTAAGAGCCAATAAAAATTCTAGATACACGTTTATAATTTCCTTACGCTCTTGAAAATGTCTTACCCTTCTAATCTATTGCTTGATATTTAATCGGGGTTTTTAATGTAAGATTTCCCTCTTTTGTGCTTGATTGTCATCCTGTTTGGGCTGCCATCAAGTTGTCTCTTCTTGTCTGCCGTAACCCACCCAACCAAAAAGCAAAACGCGATTGCTTTGGTAGGTTTTTTTTTTTTTTTTTTTTCTCGAGTGATCCAAAATATAAGCTGGAAAGTGTGATTTGTCATGATTTGAGTCCTATCAATTGGGAAATTCGGAAAGAAAATGCCATGGATGATGTATGGAGGTACTGAACCGCCACTTTGGCCAAAAAAAATGAATTCATCAGCCAATTTGGCCATACAGTCCTCCCATTGATGACCATTTATGACACTGGTCATCAATGGGAGGACACACTCCCATCAAGGACCGGTTTTGACCAGTCCTTGATGGGAGTCAACCCCCCCCAAACACCCCTATCGATGAACAGTTTTGACCGGTCATTGATGCGATTAGACAGCACTAGAATTGAGCGATATAACACTGTCAAGCTTGTGTGTAGAATCCCTCGAGAAGCACCCATTCATGACTGGTCTACACCGGCCATCGCGGTGGGCGTTTTCGCCTCGGTGATGACCGGCCGAAAACGAAGAGA